GCCACATAGCAGATGCTGTACTCTTTCCCAAGATTTATTATTAGTGGATTAGTTGTGCAGGTACCATGTGAAGGGCCCTCATGTGCAGGTCTTCATTCCTCGTGGTATCTGGAGACAAAGCTTCTACTTGATTTTAGTAGAAGATTAGAAGAAAGAATGCTGCCCAAACCTGAGGGATCTTATTGCTTTTAGGGAAGGTTTATTGGGAAGAGCTATTTTGCCTTTTTAAACACTCCTAGTCATGTTTGTCAAAGGCTTTAGGGGCATCATACTTATCCAAATAAAATATACTGACTCTAGTAAAGGGCATTAATGAAATTGCAGAAATCTAATGTTATTGTCAGCACTCAGGTGACACAAATACATTCTGGATAGGATTATTGCCTGATCAAATATTCTATTGAATTGCTTTTATTTTTCCATTTTTCTCAGCTTTTCACGGTATAATTATGGTCTGATGTCAGATTTCACCCTGGTGCTCATCAATTACTCTCATTTAACCATTTTTTAAAGGACAAAGCCCCCCAGCAGAGACTATAACCTTGTAATTCAGTAACTTCCTCACAGACAACACTTTAAAATGTAACAGTGGATAAATATGTCAGGAAGAGATCAGGATAGCCCTGGGAAAAGTGAGGTGGATAATTGTACATGTTCCCATGTACAGGCATTAAATTAATGTAACCATAAAATACTTTTAAGTGCTCACATCTATTAAATTAGGAACAGCAAATACTACACAGAGCCCTGCTTAATAAATTAAGTCTATTTTACAGAATAAGCATTTCTCCTTTTTTAAGTTCAATGAGTCAATATGAGAACATGAAAGGAGCAAGGTTAAATAAATTGCTGTCAGAAGATGCAGGATTTAGCAGCCGTAGTTACCCTAGATTTCAACAAGAATAAGCTGTTACCATAGTAACCACATCATGTGATCTTCACACATACTGTGGGGCCAGATTCTGCTGTAATTTATGCTGGTGAATTTTTATTTTTTTATTTTTTTGAAATGGTTCTTTCTGAACTCTGACTCATTTCCTTATGCTCTGACCCAAAATTTAATCATCTTTGGTGCTTCGTATCTCACATCTTTTTATTCCCCCAAATGAATCTAACTTATTAAAAACTACTAACCACAAAGAGGAGGAACCTGTAATGAACAGAAGTTGATCTCATTAATAATAATGCCAATTGTACAATGGTTGTATCATTGCCTTATTACGAGATTCTAAATTGTCATGTTTCGCAGTTCACTCCTGACCTGAGGCTTTCTGGCCTCTCAGGTGAGATGTTATCACCTGTCTATGTATCCTCCCACCCTCTGCAGGGTGGGAGGATACATACATTATACTCTCTGTAGGGTACAGAGGTAATAGAGGGGGACATACTTACTTTTAAGGTCTAATTGTAAGTTCACACTGAGCTATGATCCACCTCTTTGGGATTGTTGTAAGAGAAATAAATGAGAACAAAGAACCATGTAAACTGCCTAAAGCTCACTGCCTGAATTAAAAGTTTATGTTGTTTGGCCAGTATCTGTATTATTCTTCCTTTATCGAACACAAACATGTTGGAGAAAGTGACAAACGGTGGCCAAAGAAATGTTCTGAGATGTTTAGATACAGGATCTGAAAGGAATCATCGGTCTTCAGTGTTAGAATATTGCAGTCTCTGTGTATGAAAATTGCATTCACGTAAGGGCATGTTTGCCAGGGATGTGGCTAGAAATTGCCTCATGAACTGGCCTATTACCTTGGATGGTGTGACACATCAGTAAAGAGCTAAGGCTGGCTTTATGACTCAGACGCACCCTAGGTAATTTCTGAATTGGGGATATTTGCCTCAGATACTTGCCTTGTCTGAGGGCTTGTCCACACCTTCTGCTCTCCCCATGTCACTATTTTCTATCAAATCCTATTGAATTAACCACTGATTCATGATTCTATACGAGTGGTGGGAGATATCTGTGGCCTTCCAAATATTGTTAGATTCTATCAGCATCCTTCAGTCTGTGTGACAGTGAAGGATGATAGCAGTAGTAGTTTCTCAACATCTGAAGATCCAGAGGTCCCTGTGCTATACATAGGACTAGAACAGGTTAAAAAAATTCTATTTCACAAAATGCAATATTTGTCTTGATGGTGGCAGCACTTCCAAAGCAAAGCCTCAACAAACAATTGGTGGGTGGCTTAATGGCTGTCTTTCACAGGCCCTTTGTATTTATTGTCTCGACTTAACGAACGTAATTGGTTCTGGAACTCTGGTCATAACTCAAAATGGTTGTAAGTCGAAGCACAATTTCCCATAAGAATGCATTGAAATGCAATTAATCCATTCCGCCTGAAGAAAAATATCACAAAAAACCACAAAAAACAAAAAAACACCACACAAAACACTGCAAGACCCATTGGAAACATGATTAATCCGTTACGGCTGAAGGGGGAGGAAGAAAAAGAAAAGCAAACCGTGCAAGACCCATCGGAAATGCAAAAAAGCAAAGCAGAAAGCAAGCAACCCCTGCAAGACCCGTTGGAAATGCAAAAAAAGCAAAACAAAAAGCAAACAAACCATGCAAGACCCTTCGGAAATGCAAAAACAGCCAAGCAAAAAGCAAACAAACCCTGCAAGACCCATCACAAATAGGAACCCCCCCCCCGAAAAAAGCCCTGAAAGACCCATCGGAAATGGGGGAAAAAAGCGAACAATCCATACAAGACCCATCGGAAATGGGGAGGGAAACAAACCCTGCAAGACCCATCACAAATAGGAACCCCCCCCCCGAAAAAAGCCCTGAAAGACCCATCGGAAATGGGGGAAAAAAGCGAACAATCCATACAAGACCCATCGGAAATGGGGAGGGACCCCAAAAAACAAACAGACCCTGCAAGACTCATTGGAATGGGGAACAACAAACAAACAACAAACAAACCCTGCAAGACCCATCACAGCATAGAAACATAAGCCCACCACCCAGCCCAAAACCACACTCCAAAACCCACCCAGAACAGTTTTTAAAAAGTAGAAAGCAACACCTTACCTTACCAGGCAGTCTGAAGCCTCCTCCGATTGCACACTCTCTAACTGCTGGGGCGAAAGAGCTGCAAAGAAGCAGCGTCTTCGTCACCAATAGTTAGCAATTTGAATTTTCCACCTTCCCCCCCCCTGCCTTTTTCTGGTTGTAACTCGAAGCTCCGATCGCAAGTAGAAGCAAAATTTTGTGGCCAGAGCTAGTCGTAAGTTGAAATGGTCGTATCCTTTGACTGTGTGGACCACAGCAAACCATGGCTTTTTTTAAAGAAATGGGAATGCTTGACCACTTATCCATCTGCTGAGAAATCTACATGTGGGACAGGAAGCAAGAGTTAGAACTGGATATGAAACAACTGATTGGTTGAAAATTGGGAAAGGAGTATAACAAGGCTGTATATTGTCTCCCTGCTTATTTAACTTATATGCACAGTACATCATGCAAAAGGCAGGACTGGCTGAATCCCAAGCCGGAATCAAGATTGCCGGAAGAAAGTGAGGAGGAATTAATTGAGGGTGAAAGAGGAGAGTGCAAAAATGGTCTGAAGCTCAAGATCAAAAAAACTAAGATCATGGCCATTGGTCCCATCACCTCCTGGCAAATAGAAGGGGAAGCTATGGATGCAGTGACAGATTTTACAGTGGTACCTCGACTTACAAATTAATCCTTATTGGAATGTTGGCTGTAAGTCCAAATGTTCATAAGTCGAAGCACTATCTCCCATAGGAATGGATTGAAAACCAATTAATCTGTTGCAACCAAAGAAAAAAAAATACCCCCACCCCCAAATAAAAATAAAACACTGCAGGCCCCTGGGTCTGCAAAAAACAAAACAAAACAAAACAAAAAAACCCACCAAATCCAAAAATAAGCATTGGAGCAAGTCCCACGCTCGGATTGAAAAAAAAACACACACAAAAAAACCCCAACCAAATACAAAAACAAAAAAACACCAAAAAACAAACCAACACAAAAACATATCCCCCCAGCCCAAAACTATCTCCCAGCCCAAAACTATCCTCAAAAACCCAACCAGAACAAATTTTTAAAAAGAAAAAAAGCAGCATCTTAATGGTACAAAGCCTCCCAGGGGTCCCCCGCCACCGCCGATCGCCACCTTCGGAGGCCTCCTGGGGCTTCCTTGCCACAGGTGGAGGCCTCTCGGTGGTCCCCTGCCGCCACTGATCGCCACCTTCAGAGGTCTCCCAGGGCTTCCCTGCCACCATGGGAGACCTCCCGGGGGTCCCCCGCTGCCACCATCACTGCCTTTGGAGGCCTCCCGGGGCTTCCCCACCACTGCTGGAGGCCTCTAGGAGGTCTATTCCCCGGGAAAGCCTGAAGGCGGTGATCTGTGGTGGTGGGGGACCCCCGTGAGGTCTCCCATGGTGGCAGGGAAGCCCTGGGAGGCCTCTGAAGGCAGTGATGGCAGTGCAGCTGGAACCCTGGGAGGCTGATCCTCCCTTTCCCTGACTGTCGGGGCGAAAGAGCTACAGAAAAGCAGCCTCTTCACCACCAACAGTTAGGGTTTTTTTGAATTTCCTGCCCTTTTCCCCCTGCCTTTTTTTGTTTGTAGATCAAAGCTTTGGCTGCAAGTCAAAGCAATATTTTGCGGCTGGAGCTGTTCGTAAGTCAAATTGTTCGTATGTCAGGGTGTTCGTAAGTCAAAGCACCATTGTACAACCTTCTTTCAACTCCCAAACACACACAATGCATGGTTGCACACAAACATGCACACACAAATACATCCGGCTAATGCTTTAATGATTAACTCTTTTGACTTTCATTTGAGGGAGATGAAAAGTACCAGGGATAACGCCACCCAGAGTCACAAAACGAACAAACCTTTTAAAGACTCTTTATTTCTATGTCATTATCTCAAATTGCCTTGTTTATCCCCTGCATTCTGATCAGGTACCATTACCGCACTCGGTTGTCCACATCACTCTTCTGAAGGGAAAATTAATTCTGAATTACTGGTCCTATAACTGCCGACTTCTGCACATTATCTGTCAGGGACAGAAGCAGACAAAAGCTGGCTAAGTGGATTTCTGTTAGCTGCTGTTCAAAAGGAATAGGGAC